CTTCTCCCTGGGTTTAACTGTTTTTAATAGTTCTATACTTCATGACTCTTTACTAAAAATATTCTCCAACATATTAGCTCTCTGGCAAGATAGTGTCATATCAACATTTAGGTAAGTTACAAGTTCTCAAACCTGTTAATATCTTTCACAAAGACTAAAATCTGGCAATAATATGTCTGCCACAAAGATCAGTTGTAATTGTCTTCAAAGTTTTACTCTACCCATTTGCATAAGTGTAAATTGGGAGCAGAATGGATGGGGAGCCCTGAAGAGGGCCAGGTGATGCAGGGTGTCCTGGCAGACAAGACAGCAAGCCACATCCTGGGATGCATCAAACACAGCACAGCGAGTCAGAAAAGGTGAATGTTCCACTGTATTCAGCATTGGTGCAGCCTCACCTGGTGTGCTGTGTGCAGTTCTGAGCCTCATAATTTAAGAAGAATATAAATGTTCTTCAATGTGCCCAGAGGCTGGCAACAAAGCTGGAGCAAGGGCTGGAAGTCATATTCTGTGAGGAGTAGCTGAGGATGTCAGGTTTGCCTGTATTGGAGACAAAGAGGCTGAGGGGTGACCTCATTGCTCCCTATTTTAGCTTACTGAGGAGGGAAAGTGGAGAAGAGAGTGCTGAGATCTCTTCCCTGGGATTCAGTGACAGGATATGTGGAAAGAGTTTAAAGATGAGCCAGGGGAGGTTTAGACTGGACATTAGGAAGCATTTCTTTACCATGAGGGTGGTCAAACACTGGAACAGGCTCCCTAGAGAGGTGGTCAATGTCCCAATCCTGTCAGGGTTTAAGAGGCATTTGGACAATGCCCTTAATAACATGACTTAATTTGGCCAGCCCTGAATTGTTCAGACAGTTGGACTGGATGATCATCGTAGTTCCTTTCCAATTGAAACTATTCTAGTCTAATTTATTCTATCTATTTCTATTCTATTTTTAAACTGCTGCATATGGTGATTTTCAGAAAAGAAATGTTACTTGTTTCATGTTCCAAATGAATAGACATTTTTATTTGGTTTACTTTATTTTTTCATTTTTCTCTGATAAAGACCTGGCAAATATGTCAATGCAAATTCACAAAACATGACACATAGAGCATTTGTCTTGAAATTATGCAAGCATCAATCAGATTCAACATATGACCAACGTACAGAAACATGATGGCAAAAGAAGACTCCCAAAATCATTCTCTAAATCAATATTGGGAAATGTTTTTAAAATGTCTATGATGTTTTCTAAGTACATGCTTCTTGTTGGATATAACAGCACAAATTTTCTATTAGGTTACGATGTATTTATTTAAAAAAGAAAATAAATCACTTTTCTCAAACGAAAGGTGTTTTTTTCCTTTTCTGAAAGAAAAAGGAGCAAAATTATAATTCACTGCTATATATTTAAAGCCATTCATGATTAATTCTATAAGCATTAATTAAAATTGTAGTGGTGGGGATTACTAGGAAACTTGTAACTGTTTAAATTTAGGCTCATCAACTGAAATAAAGAAAAAAGGAAAACAAAGAAGACTTGTCTACTACCACTCAATAATTCTGTCAAATTATGATAATATGTGTGTTTCTACACCCTTTATCCATACTGTGAAGCAAACAATCCTGTTGAACTTTTAAATACACTTAAGAAATAATAAATGAAGATTAACAAGAAACATGTTTTCCATTCCAGCTACATAGATATTCACCAGCAAAGAAGTATCAGACTGCTTAATTAATTTGAAAAACCACGGACAAAATTTAAGACTGCTTTGAAAACTCACTGTGCTGAAGAAAAGCAGCTTGGGGTTAAATCCAGGTACATTCATATCCAGTAAAAGATCACAGAAGTAGATTGAAGTCAGAGAGCAATGCATAAGAACCAGTAATAATGGAGATGATACATCCCCTTCATGTAGCCTGCATGACATTATAAAAGGCTCAGGTCTCAAGGAACAAATTTGAATTATGAATTTTTATGCAGCGGTAGACACCTATTTTCTTATTCATATCTTCTTCAGCAATATCTTCTTATAATACACTGTGTATGTAGTTTTAAGAATTTACAGGCCACTCACAATGTCTGTGCAGCTGTATTGTGTGGCCCAAGTTTGGTAATGAGGGGGGGAATACAGGGTTAGGCTTCTGTGAGAAGCTGCCAGAAGCTTCCCCTGTGTCTGACAGATCCTGTGCCAGCCAAGGCAGACCCACCACTGGCCAAGGCTGAGCCTGTCAGTGTTGATGGTAGCACCTCTGTGATAACAGATTTAAGAAGACAGAAAAAACCTGAGCAAAAGCAACTGCAGCTGGAGAGAGGACTGAGAACATGAGGGAAAAAGCTCTGAAGATGCCAACATCAGTGAAGAAAGAGGGAGAGGAGGTGCTTCATGCACTGGAGCAGAGATTGCCTGGCAGCCCATGATGCAGACTGTGGTGAGACCAGCTATCCCCCTGCAACCCAAAAAGGTCCACAGTGGAGCAGCACAAGGAGGAACCCACACCAGAGCAGCTGGATGTCCAGAGGAGCCTGTGACCCTGTGGGAAGCCCAATTGGAGCAGATTTGCTGGAAGGACTTGTGGTCTCATTGAGGGTCCCACACCGAAGCAGTGTAGAAGGCACTCATGCTGGAGCATTTAATGAAGAACTACAGACCAGGGAAGGTCTCACCTTGTAGAAGTTTATGGAGCTCTGTCTCATGTGGGAGGGACCTCATGATGGAGCAGATGATGGGTGTGAGGAATCCAACCCCAGAGAGGGAAGGAGCAGCAGAGACAATGTGTGATGAACTGGCTGCAGCCCACATTCCCTGTTCCCCTGCACAACTGGCAGGAGGAGGGAATCAAGTTCAGCACAGAAAGAAGGCAGCAATGGGGGGAAGGTGTTTTAGGATTTGGTTTTATAGCTCATTATTCTACTCTGATTTTGACTGGTAATAAGTTGAACTAATTTTTCCCCAAGTGAGTCTGATTTGCCTGTGACAGTAATTGCTGAGTGATCTCTCCCTGTCCTTATCTCAATCCACAATCCTTTTGTTACATTTTCTCTGCCCTGTCCAGCCAAGAAGGGGACTGATAGAGTGACTTCAGTGGGCACCTGATATCGAGCCAAGGTCGGTCCCTCCTCCCGGTGACTTTTAAATGAAGTATTAAAATCGATGGGAACAAGATGGCTGTAAAGAATTACAGCTCATTTGAATAACAGCACCTCCAACGCACTGACTTTTGCTAGCATTGCAGTTGCAGCATGCATGATATCATTACTTTGTAATCACTGGCAATAGAGATTTGGAATGTTTTCTGAGGAACCTGCATTATTGTCACATAATAACATTGATTTAAGATTTTTCTCCCTGTGTTGGTTACAGTGACATCTGCAGAGAGCAGTTAGTTTTGAATGCTTGATACTCTCATCACAGCAAAGATTAATACTGATACAAGGCCATCTGCCAGGTTCATTTTACAATCTCAACAGAAATTTTTTTTTTTTTTTGTAAGACGGTGATTTAATAAGTTTTCCATTGTCAAAGTAAAGACAAGGTTATTTTAATTACTAATCTATTTCTTTTCTGAATCTGAAGTACTCTTCAAGTAACTAAAATTCATGGGTCATATATTAGCATTAATGTTTAGTTGTTAAAAAGAAACAAAAAGAGTCAATTCAATAGTCCACAAATTGTAATGCATTTGCAGACAATAATTCAAGTCAATAATACCAGACAATAATTCAAGACAATAATACCAGCTGGCAGTACTCAGTGACCCTAAACTGGAATTGGGTCTTGTGAGTACCCACTGTTCTCCAGGTGAACAACACTGGTTTGACTCCAAATGTAATGTTGCTTGGTTAACAGACGCGTGAAGTGAGGAGTACAGTGGTGAATTAATTCCTGTAAATTTCCAGGGTGTTTTGCAAACTCAAGATCAGATATGTTTCTCACTTCTCAGATTCTACAATATTGAACCTACTTGACTGAAACCTTTTTTCTCAGATTTGAATTAGAACTTCTCATGTGGCTATGCCAGAAGGATTTCATGCAAAAGATGGAGAAATACTATTTACACCTTTTTATTGGACATGCAAGAAGCATAGCAGTCAAATGGACAAGACAGTGAACAGTAGATTTACATAGTAATGAATACTGAAATGCTGCCAAAAATCTGGTATAACACAGAAGAGAATAAGCAAAGGATTGTTTAAGATGTGGACATCAAACGCCATATGTCTTCCAAAAAAATTCATACATACTGAAGAAAATGAGAACAATTTTTTCCTGAGGCACATATTAAGCCTACGTTATGGCATCTGCATTTGACAAAATTAATTCCACGCAATGTCTGACATTTCTAGTCCACTAAATATCTTGCAGATAATACCTTTATTGAAAAGCATCACATTACACATATATAGAGTGTATATATATACACATATACAACTGAGGACATAAGCCACTTATTTAAAGAGCTTGCTTCAAAAATTATAAGACTGAATAAGTGGAAAAGCTCTAGAGGCCCACACTGAGGTAGACACATGGTTTGGCAAGAATTACTTGTGCAGGGGATGGATGAGCTGCTAAAGTGCACTGAGGGCTGAAGGCCACGGACACCCACATCCAGGAAAGCCCGAGGAACTGACACAGGAGGACAAAGTCTTATGAGGAGAGGCTGAGGGAGCTGGGGTTGTTGAGCCTGGAGAAAAGGAGGCTCGGGAGGAATTTTACTGCTCTCTACAACTGCCTGAAAGGAGGGTGCAGCCAGGTGGGGATCAGCTTCTTCCCCCGGACAACCAGCCACAGGACAAGAGCACAGTCTTAAGCTGTGCCAGGGCAGGTTTAGTTTGGACAATAGGAAAAAATTCTACGCAGAAACGGTGATTAGCCACTAGAATGGGCTGCTCCGGGAAGTGAAAAGGCACCGTCCATGGAAATGTGCAAAACTGGACGTGTCACCTGGCGGCTGCTTTAGGTTACAAGGTGGCTGGTGTTCGGTCATAGATTGAACTCGGTACCGATTACGTCTTTATCAACATAATTGATTCTGTGAAATACTGCTGGGCGCTGCCCCCACGGCATATTCCTATTCCACGCCGGGCATAACTGGGGCGGGCGGCCGGGCTCAGCAGCCGCGGCAGCTCGGCGAGACGCGTTTGTCGGCACAGAGAACGCTGCGGAGGCGCGGCCTGTAGCCGACGTAGGCCTGAGCGCGGCGCCGGCTCGGCGGAGCACGGAGACCCGGGCAGGCGCCAGCGGAGGCCAGCGGAGGCCGGGGTTATCGGGACAGCCCCGCCGGCGTTACCGCGACAGCCCCGCCGGGGGCACCGGGACAGCCCCACCGCGGGCCGCGCCGAACACGGCCCCGCCCGCCCGGCGTACGGCAGTGTCGCGCCGCGCCGGCTCTTGGCGGCAGCGGAACCGGTGGGCCGTAAGGCAGGTGCGTGGCGGGCGGGGGTCGGGCGGGCGCGGCGTGGGGGCCGCGGGGAGGCCCCGGGCTGGCGCTGCTCTGCGCCAACGCCGGTGCGGAGCTGCGGTCCCGCAGCCCGGTGGGGAGTGGGACCGCCGGGACCGGCCCGCCCAGGCGCGGAGGGGCGTCCCGCCGCCGCTGCGCGGGTCTCTGCCCGCAGCCCCCGGGGCAGGGGCGTCGCTGCGCTGGTGGCGGGGCGCGGGTTTCGGGGCAGCCGGGCCACGGGGTTCGGGACAGCCCGGCCGCTGGCCGGTGCCACGCGTTGCCTCCGGCGGGCAGGGCAGGCAGCGTGCCCGGGGCTGGCAGCGGGGCCGGGGCTGGCGGAGCGCTCGCCGTGCCCCAGCCCCGGCGCGCACCGCGGCGGGTGATGCCAGGCCGCTGCTGAAGGCCCGGGTGCCGTGGGCTCCCCCCCTGCATGCCGGGCTCTGCTTCTCGGAACAGCTTTGCTGATGGGAGTGGTCAAGTGGGAAACGCACCGCTGTCGAATGTGCTTTCAGTACTTACTAGTGGTATTAATAAATGTAGAGAACCAGAAGTGACGAATGAAAAAAGCATGTGGCCACGTAGAGTGTTTTTGCCTTTCGGGTACTGCTTCATTTTGGTTGGTAGTGGTAAACTGACAGATTTGCTTATAAAACACTTGACAGTCCTGTAGCGACCTAAGGCTTACACTTCAGGTGCTTCAGGAGTGTGTATCATATTGGAATTAAAATAATACTTTTGCTTAAAAACTTCTGTGAGTTCTGAATGTAGATTTTGTTGTTCTTAAAATACTAACATTGATGTAGGCTCTTTAAGTCTTATGGCTTTTTGAACAATTGACTGTAAGGTAGTTCTGTTGAAGGGAAACCAGTAAATGTAATTTCTGCAGAGAAGAAATCTAATAGTCACGATTAGTTACTTTCCAGAAGATAGAATTGATTTAAGTCTAGCCAATGACTAGGAAAAAATATTGGAAGTTTCAGAGACAGTGCAGCAAGAGTTATGTATGTTCACATGGTAGGTTACAGAACTAAGTTTTTAGGAGGAAGAAAACCAAGCCAGCCATGAGGTCAGATGCAAACTGTCCTTCATCTAAAGATGGCATTGATGATAACAGTGAGGTGGTGTGTCTCGATTAAACACAAGCTGCTTTTCAGCAGATGCTGAAGTAAAATGATTTCCTTTGGATCTTTCTTCTGGCCAGAGGAGAGTAAACTTGCATCATCTTGGAATTTTATGTGTAGATATTTGGAGGAAGTCTCATCACAATTATATGGGAGTACAGACCAACTCCCAGCTAGGTCCTTTATGCATTGTATAAAGGCCTATATATACTATTGTATGTATAGTTTACATGTTAGACCTCAGTTTTCTCTAAAAGCTAGCTTGGCCTTTGGAAGAGTTTAGGTCACGACTTCCACTGAATCAGAGAGAAGGCAAGAAATTGTCAAATGACAGTGTTTTATTCTGACAGTTCTGTGTTTACAGAACTTGCTTTGAAGCTAAACCTGAAGCTCCTGGAGCAGGTCTGGTGGAAGGCTATGAAGATGATTAAAGGACTGACACATCTCTCCTATGAAGAGTGGCTGGGAGAGTTGGGCCTGTTCAACGTCAAGAAGAGACAAGTGAGAGGAGACCTCATAAAAGTGTATAACTGTCTGAAGAGAGGGTGTCAAGAGGATGGATCAAGGCTCTTTTTGGTGGTGCCAAGCACTAGGACAAGAGACAATGGGGAGATGTTCATGCACAGGAAGTTCTGCTGGTACATAAGGAAGAATTGTGTAGATGATTGACAATTGGAACAAGTTGCCCTGAGAGGTTGTGGAGTCTCCTTCACTGGAGATACTCAGGAACTGTCTGCACTGTGCCTTGTGCTTTAGGATGGACCTGCTTGAGCAGAGAGGTTGAATCAGATGATCCACCATGGTCCCTTTCAGCCTTACCCATTCTGTGATTATGTGATCAAGATGATTGTAATTTGGCCTCTAAAGTAGTTGCAGTCCCTTTCTTCTCAGTCTAATTTTCAGTTTTTATTGAGTAGTGTTAGTTCTGTTTTCAGGAAGAACATTTATTGTTGAAAAAATAATTTTTTACAGAGTTAATAGAAAACTCATCTTTCATAAAAGGCTGGTGTATATTTCTGCAGGTCCTGTTTACCTACAGTACTTTCTCTGAAAAAGTTATCCTTTATAAATACTAAACCAGAGCTCAGGCTGATCCGTGTTATTCTTGCATGTTTCCTTCCTCTTCTGTTACAGGAGCTGGTTACAAGTAGTTACAGGAGCTGCTAATGGGGTGTGGAGGTGGCTGGGGGAAGGAAAGACATATGTTGTCTTTCTCTGGTTAGTTATAAAGTTAAGTTTATTTGGAAGCTGTTAAAGGTGGGATTAATTCTAGCTCATATGGGTGTTTTGAGTGCTGAACAGGTTTCTTTTCTCCCTCCTACAAAATTTCCCCGTAGAAAATTGAAGCCCTCATTACTCTAAATAACAGCTTACTGTTTTCCTGGTAAATTGTTTGTAGTAACAATTGTTGAAGTTAGTGTTGAGCACTTTCTAGCCTACACATTTTCTTATACTGAATTATGCTTTAATGTTTGAAGAGAGAACTGAGACCAAAATCTACTCTCTAGTTCAGATAAACTTAACTAATCAAAAGCAATTTAGCAAATTATCTATAATGTGTAGCTGGATGTTAGAAATATAACAGCTGATGTCTGAACCAAAAAGAGAAGGAAACAAGGGTAAGACCCATAAACAGACTGAGAGACATTAGACTCCTAAATCCCAAACTGTAATCCTCAGAATCTCTGTTATTTCACCCTGTAGCTCTGTTTTCAAAGATGTTTGTCTAGTGTCTCTCTCATGTAGCAGCCACTAGGAGGTGCTTAAGTGATCTGCTGAAAAAAAAAGGGAAGACGAATCCAATTAAACCTTCACTTTCATAGTACCTTTAGTAATCCATGATTTAAATGAATGATTATTGCCTTCTAAGCTGTTGAGTTCAGAGGCTGCCAGGGTATTTGATGTCCATTAATTCATCTAGGCATACTTCTAGTCTTTTTGGCATCTTGTGGCAATGAATTCCCAAATTCAATTATGTTCTTTGCAGGAAAGGCATTCTACTTGGTATTATTCTCACCTTAAACTATTAAGTTTTGTCATGTACCTCCGTATTCTTACATTATGGGCAGTAGTCAGTCATTGTGTATTTAGCCCTTCTTGCTTTTTAAATACCTCATCACATCACAGAAAGGAGCAATTTTGTGTTTATTGCAAGCACAACCCATAAGAAAATGCACAGTCAGGGCATTCTTTATGCTCATCTCTCTCTGAGGAATTTGATCGCCTCTGTTTGAGCAATGCCAGTGTGAGCACATTCCTATACTGCATCTAGGAGTTAACTTGTGTCACAGGAGAAGTGCTTGAGATTTGTGGGTTAAACAGTGTTGATAGCACTGCAATGTTTTGGCTGCTCCTGGCCTGCACAGCATCAAAGCTTTCTTCCACCCTCCCTGCCCATCAGTAGGTAGGGGGGTGGGCAAGAGGCTGTGCAGGGACACAGCTTGGACAGTAGACCAGACTGGCCAGTGGGATGTGCTGTACTGTGTGTATTGTCATGCTCAGAAATAAAAACACAGGTAGAGGAAGAAGAAAGGGTATCATGAAGATACCCTTTGCTTTCAAGATGTCTGGTTTTTGGAGATTAGTAAACTGGAGCTTGTGGCATTGGTCACCCTGTGGGATGTGGTGAGCATTTTCTTCCTTCACTTGGGGGTTATTTTCTTTTTCTTCATCTGTTAAACTGTATCTCAACCCTGTAAGTTTTTTTTACCTTTCTTCTTCCTATTTTCTCCCCTGTCCCACTACTTGTTCAGTAGTTCAGCTACTACTGAACAAGTAGTAGCATGGCTGCTGGCCAGGGTCAAGCCACCCCAACACTGCACAAACACCTAAAAACGTGATTGAAGGAAACAAGACAAATAGCAGCACCCTATGGTTCTGTGGTAATGGTGCTCACTGAATTAACCAGTGTTGTGAAAGATCCCTATTCTGGGTGTTTCTTGAGCTTATTCTAGATATAGATATTCCTCTTGAAGTTGTGCATGACTGTGTATAGTTCAAGAAAAATCCATGAGACTGGACTGAAAGCCAAGAAAGAGTTAGGCTTCAGTAGCAATGTGGACTGTTTGAATATTGCAGAAAGGGCAGTTGGTGTTCTCAGTCTTCTATTCACTACATAAACTTGTGGACTAGAGTTTGGTGGCCAACCTGTTGCTGAGTCCAGCTCTGAGATGTGAAATAAAACTCTTGTTCTTTTTCTGTGTCATTAAATCTAGTGGGTGCTGGAGAAAAATAACTTTAAAAGGAAGGTGCAGAATGTTTTACCTAGTTGATATTTTAGGGATAGAAAAGTTGCTGTCTCTCCCCTTTCATTGTATGTGGAATTTATGGATATAAATTATATTCTTCTTTAGACTTTACTGTTCTAAAGCATAAGCTTACTCTGAGCCATCTGTTACTCTTTTTTGTTCAAAGGCATGTTGGATGTTTCGCCTAAAAAATAGACTGAATCTGATATTACAGGCCTGCAACTTAAACATAAATAGGTCTTACAGCAAGAATAGATGATTGTGGAATGATAGGTTGGTGATTGAAGCATTTGTCAGGTGAACTGTGGAGCAAATTTCAGTTTTCCAGCTGTAAACTGGCTTCTGAGAGGTTGTCAGAATAAGTAGATGACTTTGTACAGTTGTGACATCCTTGTTTGCATTCAAATACTCTGTAAACCATACAGCCATTTAAACAATTGCTCCTTTCTTTGAAACTAGTGAGGACTGCTGAACTGTGTCACTCAGTGAGTTTCTGTTTGGAAACTGGATTCTGATGAATTTGTTCAAGAAATGGGAAGGCATTGGTCTTAGCTGCTGCTCTGAGGGGGAGCAAGTGTTCAAAAAACAAGTAGACGTGGCACTTCATGATACGTTTTAGTGAGCATGGTGGTATTTGGTCAAAGGTTGGACTTGATGATCCTGGAAGTATTTCCAGCCTTAATGATTCCATTTTTCTAATGTGTCCTCTCCTTGAAGGATTCAGGAAGAGTAAAGAGGATCTCTGAAAGTCGTCTCTTCTGTTTCTCATGAGAAATTTATTACTTGTGGTGAGCTGACCCCAGCCAGTAGCCAAATGCCCCCCCTCGCCTCTCACTAACTAATTCCCTTTGGCTGTGAAATGGGGAGAAAATAGCAGATGTTCAACAGTTGCTTGGGAAGACAAACCCCATGAGTGTGGATGTGTGTCTTTGTTCCTCACACACCTTGCTTCTCCTTTCCCAGAGCTTTTACTGTTGAGTTGACATCATATGGTACACATCTATGTTGCTTCCAAAACATGAATATAAATAAAATGCTTGATTGTAATTTTTCCTTTAGGGTGGCATTTTTGTTTCTGAGGTGTCTTTAAAAGTTGATTCTGTAAGTCTGAACAGGCATCCTATGTGCCATGCTAAATACTCATAATAATTGTTCAAAGGCTTTTAAGTGTTCAGTGGAAGATTTTTGTATAATATGTACATATGCATCAGCTTACACTGCAATTTTCTAAAATATTTTAAGAAATTTTACATATATTTTAGCAGAATATGACTATTACTCGAGAAATGCAGCCATTTAAAAAATATACAGCTGGAAAAACCCTGTTTTAACCTCTTCAAATCACTAGAGACATAATGGGGCTATTTTCCTTTTTATTATATCTGCCAGGAATAGTATTATTCCTCAATTGGTGTTCCCCTCATTTTTATGTGATAAGCAGACACGTTTGCAAGCTCTGAAAAGACGGTTTGGGATTTCCTCGCTGTAGGAAATTGTACAGGTGTTCTTCCCAAAATATCCTCTTGCATATATATGACCAGCACTATAGACAGCCCAGGAAGGATCAGCAGCATTTGTTAGTTTTGATTCTAATTTGCACTTTTAACATTGCAGCTGCCTTTTTTAAGGTCTAATTCTCAGCTGCAGTAATGATGAATTATCAATTAGAAAGCTGTTACTTGCTAGTCATCAAATAGCTGGTGTGCTGTTTGAAGTGCCTGTGTGGCATGTGAGCTCTGAAGAGAAGACAAGGGATCCTGCCTTTAATAAAATTACTTTATGTGACTATGTATGTATCCAATAGTTGAGTCTTGCTTAAATGTATTTTTAATTAACTTTTTTTTTTTTTCTTTGTAGAAGAGTCTCTGCCTTGAAGTAGGCATGTTTTCAGGCTGTAGGGGTATACTTACTATGCAAGGCAGACCTTGAATTAATTTTTTGGCATAAATTTTAGGCTGAAATTTTGACTTTTTTCACCCCTGTATCCTACCAATATTAAGTAAGATTTAAGCTAAATCAAGTGGACAGTGGTCTGGCTTGGGACAGCTTATTGTGTGTCTGTTACAACCTTGGGTTTCTTTACAATTCTCTTTGTGGAGGAGGAGGTGGTATTGCCTCCAGGCAGCAGGAGGAAGTTCTGAAGGGAAAGGCATCCCCAAAAGGCTGGTGTGATTTGGACTGAAAAGCTTGTCTTGATAGGTTGATTTTTGGGATTCTCTGTGCATCTCCACTACATTAGGTCAGTGAGGTGCCTTATGAATGTGCCTCTGTCTGCTTTTCTGATAGGAAATACCAACTTGTAACTTTTTAACCACTGAGCTGGACTGAACCTTTAGTGTGCTGTGACAAGGATCCAGTAGGGATAAAAGCACTGCTAGACCATGAGTGGTTTATTTATATGGACATACCTTTGGAAAAGTTGTTATATATGCTGACAGAGACTTTTAGGCGGAGTGTTAGAAAGACTGAGGGGTAGTGTAGTGTATTCAGAATTAAAACATGTTTCAGAGGAATTATGGATAAAATACACAGCTTTTGGGTCCCTGTGTATTATTGGAAAGATATAAACTAGAGAGTTTTCTGCAAACTCCGTCATGGCTTTCTTACTCCTTCCCACCTCAAAAATTATGACAAGTATCAAATAACATACTGAATGATAGAAAAAGCATAAAGGACATCTTTTAGAAAAGCTTACAAACATTATATAAAAATTGAATGAATGCAAAAATCCAAATATTGCAAAACATACCAAACACTTAAAATTGCACAATACGCTTTCATTATTTTAATTAAATTGATGCATTTGTGTGGACACTGACATCTGGTTCTTATTTTATGTAATGAGTCATTTTCTACGTATTCCTGTATTATTTACTGCAACCATTGGTAAAAAGTCTGACACAAGAGCTGCTGGAAATAGGATGACTTTATTTATAGCTGATAGTTTGGGAAACATTTTGTTTAGTGACAGGCAGAGTTGGCCAGAATCTGTGTTTCTTTTGAAGGCCATTTTCCTACTTTTAGTGCATGACGATTAAATTAATTTTCTTGTCTATTACTAGAAGGGCTGTGGAATCTACAGCCTCTTTCTTAACTGGTCTAAAACTCAGCATATTTCTGTTCTGAGAAATAATTCTGTAGTTTAGGTACTTGCAGGTTTTCTGTTTCAGGTTGCCAGCATTACCATTATTATTACCAGTTGTATTGATAAAATTGCTTAACACAAAAAAATTTATTATTTTCTCTAAATGAGAAATCCTGCTTCAGTGCTTTCATAGAATAATTGTTCTGTAAGATTAAATGTGAATCTTGGCATAAGTTGCACTGTGCTTACACAGCTACTGTGTGTTGTCTGCAAGATGCAAAGACTTTATTAGCCATAATTAATTACTAAAATCCTCGAGAAGGAATCTCAATGTTTGGCAAGATAATTAATTCAGAACTGACATCCTCCTGTCTTTGCAGGTAGTATGAGCATTGCTAATGACTTTGCTGTAAAGAAAGTGTATGACTTCATGGTTAATAAGAAGTAAGACAGCAATCCTACTCATACCACCTGTCTTTTTTGATTTGAGTAATAATGTACAGGCAGGGTCTTAAGGATCAGGGTATCTGGCTTAGTCTTTTATTATATTGCACTTGAGATCCTTTGTAAATGCTGAAATAGTTATATTTTTCTCAAAAGAGGTGTTAAGTGTTTCCTTCAGAATCATTTGGGAGAGTGCTCCAGATACAAAATGATCCAATACCCACCTTGAGGCTTATTGAAACCCTATTTTGAAGGAAATCAGCGTTAATTATGAAGGATAATATGGTGTTGAGTGGCTAATAAGCATCCAGTTATTTAGAACTGGAGGATAATGCAGTATTTGAGGCATTTGTTTAGTTGTCTGTAAATATGGTAAGTGATTTGAGTGCTGGAGCACATCTCTGTGAGACTTAAAAACCTTGTAATGGTGAGTAGCTCACACTGGGGGCTTTATCCTTGTATGCACTTGCTGTTCACTACAGGAGCATGTTACAGAGACTTTTTTTTACTACCATCTGAACAAGTTCTCCAGCATGCTCTTGGCCCAGCAGCCCAGCAATTCTGCAGTTGTGTGTTCTGCATGTATTGTTATAGCACTTACATTTGCTGAAGTGCATTCCACAGCCTTGCAGCCATCCTCAGTGATATGCAGTGTGTGTTACCTAGCTGTCATTAACTGAAAACTTTTTTCTTTCACTTACCTATTAGTTTTCTTCCTCCCTTTCCTTCCTTTGACCACCTACATCCCTATTTACCTTCCATATGTCTCTTCCTTTAGTGACAAGCCTTTCTAGAACAGAGTAAGATGAAACCCCTGAGGTTGTTTTCAACCTCTGTTGATGGCACAGTGTGTAACAGAGGCACAGAGAGCCCCCTGTTAAACTTAAAGCAAAACTGAACAAGTAACATCTCCACCATCCCCATCTTGTATTTGTGGCTTATCCCTAGCGTTTAAATGAACATTCATGTTACATATGTTGAAGTTGGAAATTTGCTTATAGTGCATCTCCACATGTAAGGCAAGTCTCGAAGTTTCTGTTGCTTGGGATACAGTTTATCTCTTGCTGCCGGGAACTTAAAAGTTAAGGCCATGATGTTTAGAACTACAGACATTTTTTGGTTTAACAACTGAATTACATTTCATGTTCTTGGAAAAGGAAGATGAGTTATTCTGAAGAAAGGATTGTTTTCATTTTTTTTCTTTTTTAACAACAGCAATCCTCAGTAACTATCTCAAAGTACATGTAAAATGAACACATTATTGAGCCAAGCCACATGTTTGGCATCATCCCAGAACAGTATCAGGCATAATCACAGGAAATGGTTCTCCAGCTGATGCAAGCAGACACAGTGTTAGGCAGCTGGCAATCGCATGTGCGTGGTTAAGATTATGAAAAAATGTGGAAAGGGTTAATACTGTATTGAATGAATGACTTGTAATTCCATTATTTGATTTTCTAGGGTTTTTTGTTTGTTTAGTGACTTCTGTAATTAAGATGCTGAAATTGTCTTTTATGTGATCAATGGCACACAGAGGCACTGTTGTGCCTCCTTGTTATGCTGAGGCACTTGTCTGAATTTTGGTATTCGCTGAGGAGAACATTGTGTGTCAGGAAGGCACTGTTTCTTCCTGAGTACATATTCCTTAATCTTGTCATCACCCTTTTAAAGATTGACCCAGTCTTGACTGCAGATCAGTAATATTTGACCCAGACAACTTGAGAGAATTCTGGGTTGATGTCTGGGCCTTTTGTAGAAAGTGAGATGTCTGAAAGCGTACAGTTGGTACTACATGGGACAGCACTGTTTGTAAAGGTGCAAAATACAAAGGTTGAAAATACTATTGTTTTAGTGTCATGCTTTTGCCTGCTATTTCTGATTAATGTCCCAGACATTCTTAAACCACTGTTATTCCTGGCTAACAACTTTGATGTTAGGTGTATTTGTACTGTTGACATCAAACATGCTTGGATAAGAAATTTTATTGAATCTAATAAAAATGTTCTCAGAGGTCCAAAATAGTTTTTTTTTTATCAAATGATTTAATTTTTTTCTTTAAAGTGTTTTCTTTAGAACATTTTTCCTCTGATGTATATGATTTAAAAAGGATCTATATGGAGAAGAATATGTTGTTTGGTTTTTTAAAATATTGAGTCTTATTTGTAAATAAAATATCAAGTTTACCTTCGTGTTAAGGAAGTTGTTGAAGTTAATTGTAGCTATTCCAAAATGTGTTCATATCAGTAAAATTTAATGTTTGGGGGTTTATCTTTAGTCTTCTTACACAGTAGCGTAAAGTAAAATATTGTATGTGTCGATAAATGGTCTCACTGTTTGAATTGTGTATTTAAAATGTAAAAAAAGTTACAGCGTCCCTTTAGCTTTTGTATGGCCTTGTGGGTGGGATATCTTTTGCCCTTTCACTTTCTTTTTCATTTGAAATGTTTCCACTTTTTCAAGTGAAAGAGAAAATGCTGCTTGAAATACTTTGTGGTCAATAGCAACCTGCTATTCAATAGCAACCTGCCAATGTCTAAAGCCTCTTTTTCTTTATAATGTTCTTTGATTAGATTAGTAACTAGTAATAACTTCTTTAGGTTTTATAAATTGCAGGTTTACATAGAAAGTAAGAAACTTATTAATAGCTGGAAGAATTATAGGTAATATAGGCAAAATCTGGGAACATGGCCTAGTATTCCTTAAATACTTTAAACAGAATCACTGCTGTGAAGTCTTAAAGGACAAATAAAAAGTAAAATACTATAGATTACAGAAACTGGTACTTTAGGATCTTGTAACTGTGGATTTTACCTGTGATTTTTAGCTGTGTTAATGCTATGTTATTCCATCCTTTGTAAGGAAGGAAAGATTTCTGTTCAACTTGAACATTGACGTGCCTGATCTGAGCATTCACCTTTTCTTAGCCCTGTTGTGCAGCTGGCTTGATCTGTTAGAAGGCATAGGAATTCAGTAAATGTGAAAAGGTGGTATATCTTTATAGTAATCTCTTTAATATTTCAGCAAAGAAGAAAAAGAAACGGTTCTGTTATTTGCTTGTATTAGAAACATAGGAAGGCCAGGACTTGGACAAAAACCTAACTAGCTGGTGAAAATATGAAATGGAAAACTTCTCTAGAATTTTTGTTACCTTTGTGGTATTGTTAGAATTTTTTTTCATGTTTCACTTTAATGAGTAAAAACCTGCTCAGATTATGATTCATGTTTACTTTCAAACAATAAACTTTGAATTGTTGTTTACCTGAACTCTGAGTATAATCTGTCTTTATGTTTTTTTTTCTTCTATACAAAGTTTCAGTGTTAAAATCACACTTGTTTTTAAAGGAAGCAAAATAGACTTTAAAAGTTACTTTCTCTCATCTTCAGAAAGCTTTTAGAAGGGTGGATATTGCTCTTTCTAATTTACAAACAGGCTTGGTGGAATTTAAGTGTTTTTTAAAAGAGGCAGGAAATCTGAGATAGTTCTAGGAATCATTAGTAGAATGTGCCCAAAATGTCCTAACTTTATTGGGGTTGGGGGAGCAGAAGAAATCTTTTTACCATGTAAAGTCACACTGATATGAGGGTTAAATTCCCATTCCATGTGTCCTATGGAAATGATTTAATATGGTATCTTTCTCATACTTTTCTTTAGGGGGAACGGGCAGAAGGATGGCAAAAGTTCATCTTCTGTATGTGGGCCGTGGAAAAGAGGATTTAATTGCCACTGCCTTTTAGGTCCTTGTTTCAAAACTTGCAGATCTTAGCAGGATCATTTGGTAGTTCAGATGTTTCACATCCACCTGTGAGCAAACAGATACATTTCTTTAAAATCAGAAGGAATTAGTTACACTTATGATGGCTGTGGAAAGACAAGGAATAGCTGATCCACTCTAAAGGCAGTGTGATGCGGGCAGATATCTACATAAGGAAGCTTTATGTGAAGGCAGATAGCGTATTTTTTAAAAACAAATATAACTTTACAGTGCATCTTATAGGGCCACATGATTTTTGATTTAGTGTTCAGAGCTGGCTCCAATATGTTGCAGAATAATAGCCAAAGTTTCTAACTTTTACCTTGCCTTTCTGTGATAACAGTGGAGTAATTAATTGCATTCTGTTTACTAGCTGGTTTTGTTTCTGTTGGTGCCCTGATAAGAGTGGGTGTTGTGTACCAGCAGCAAAGGGGTCGTGTGGTATTTGACTATAAATGGGATGCAGAAGCTTTGTGCGACTGCTCTGCCAAACCAGCCTCCTCAGGCACCTGCAAGCTCTGAAAGCACACAGGCAAGTGTGGAGCAGCATTTACTAGTACAAGATTAGGGTTGCAGGGCTGGATTTGGCTCTTTGGCCATGCCTGTGGTGACAACAGTGTGCCCTTTCTTGTTTTCTGGTGGTTTAGGTTTCCTATTTCAGGAGCAGCTAATAAAGAAATTGAATAAAGGAGAAAGTAATATTAATTAAAAATTCAGTTTCCTAATAAATGAGCCGGCTGGAGATGCATTGAAATTTATAAGTGTGTGTAAAAAGTGAACTTTTTATATGTTCTAACTTTCATAAATTGCTGTGCATGGTATTTCAGAAAGGACAATTAAAGTAATATTAGAATTATGTGGTTACATTTTTTTATAAAGGCACATAATGCTACAGAAAAGGGTATTTAAATGTAGGTATAATATAAATAGGTAAAATGGACCCAATAGCTCTAATAGCTAATAGCAGTTCTGTCATTAGAACAGTGAGAGTGATGTACCCTCAAAGTCTGGACACATTACTTCCCTTCTAATAATGGTGGCTATAATGTTTACAGACTATTTTCACTAGGAGCTATGCTGGTATGAGTTACATGTCATATATTCACTGAATATATCAAAAAAGCTGCTGTGATGTTTGGCTCTCTCTGCTTCTAGGCTTGAATACATGCTCTCATTGCCCTTCACAGTTAAAGATTTTGTATTTGCAAATTTTGTAGATTCATTGTTATAACATTTGTCTCCAAAATATCAGCTGCTGTAAAATCATTCTCAAAAAGCATCTTAAGGCAAGGTGGGACAACAAGCAGACCTGACAAGTCAGTGACATTTCTCTGTTTGTGACTGGAACGCTGCATCTGGATTTCTTTCGTGCTGTATTGCAAAGCTGATAGATAAAATACAAATGCAGTCATTAGATAAGGAAAAGTGTTAAGGAAAATTGGATGAAAGCAGAGAGTTCTGTACTGTATGACTGGGAGGGAAGTAATTCTATTAACTCTATTATGAGTTCTTTAAATTCTGGATAGACGTTGATCTTCAGGCATGCTAAGAATGATGCAGATCATTAGGTTTGTAATGGTATCATTAATTGGTTCAAAAATAATCTAAATCTGTATCTTATCTAATAGCATCAGAAACTGTAGCTGTATGTTAGGGTTCATTAAACAATTCAGCTGTGGGCACCTTTTGAAATTAAATAACTTTGAGAATAATTTCAGAAAGGGCTTGGAAGAAGTACAGTTTCAGATGGAGAACAGCTGTGTTTTGGTGCATAGATATGAGCCTGTTCCACAGAGGAAATAAAACTGCACGGAAATAAGCTGTAGTTCTGAAGAGAGGCCTGCTCTAAGTGTGTGTGCACTCCCAGTTGTGAGATGAAAACATCCCAAGGCATAGTGTGTGTTCAGTTTTCTGGTAGCCTTTTTTATTCCCTTTATCTCTTATAATAGTTCAGTGCTATGCCTTTGACCGTCTTTATTTCCTGTCATAATTTTCTTTCCCTGTTTTGCTGGTTCAAAATGGCTAAGCACTTGTCAAGATGCCTCTCTCTGCATCTGTGCCAGAGGCTGTTAATGACCTGAAAGCTCCCAGCATGGGCTGGCTCAGAGGAAATCTTCCCGTAGGTTGTAATCACTTACTGCTATTGGGAGCTAAAGTTCAGTTACATAGATTTCACTATAATACTCAGTGTTAGGGGTGCTAAAGAAATAATTGCCACTTTGCCTCATTGCTGGTAACTTTTATTTAGGGAGGAGAGAAAAGAACTACCTGCTGAGTGACCTCTGCATGTTACCATAGCTTGCCTCCGCTCTGTGCCTTTCACCTCCTTTTATTTAATTTTGATTATCATTATTTTAAGAGATCTTTTTTTAACTGGCTTAATTGAAGTTCCAGCCAAGTGCTGCTAGCTCAAAAAGGTCTTTCAAGTTTATGATGCAAGTTTGTATTTATAACATTGATAAAGCCATGTTATTTGTTTTGTTCTCATCTAGGTACTTGAACTGGGATTTGATTTCTCATCCTATGGATCACTGAATGAGTAACAGATGGCCTTGCCTCGTCTTACAGGCGCTTTACGCTCCTTTTCAAATGTCACTAAACATGAGGATTACAGTGAAGAATTAGCTGACTTAACGGTAAAGCTTTTTTTCTTTTACAAAGCATAGCTATAGTAAGAATCATTTGTTTTCTTCATTTGCATTGATATTTTATAAGAGTAGGCAAGCAGGAAGGGCAGAGTGTGTAAAATTTCCTGTACATTCCTTCATAATGTCCTCACTCAAAGTCAAATTTGCTGTAGATTTGTGATTAATACTTAGCCCTTACAATCATATGGCAAAGCTTGCTTGGTTGTGTTAATTTGTTTTTCAAGAAGTTGGACAAGGCTGCTTTAAGCTCTGAACTTATGTAAAGCTGGGAAGCCAAACATTTCCCTTCTAATATTAAGTTCACTGAATTCAGGTACTTCTTTTGCTTCCTGAGAAATAATATATTAAAGTAATAGATGCCTTGTGGGAACCTGTGAAATGACTTTGGAATCTTGAGAACTGTAAATCTCTTGAAGTTGCAAGAGTTTGGCTTTATAGAGGATTTTGCTCTGGAAAGAGTAAATTAGTGAGAGTGTGTGTGTGCTTTTGTGTATCCTTTTTTCACACACTCTGGAAAGAGTCTAAAAATCAGGCAAAAGGAAAAGTGCTTGCAGTCAGTACTACACACTGACTGAATGCAATTGGAAGGAATTGATTTTATCTGGTGTTTAATTTTAAAGGAACCCTCATGTATTAATTTGAAATAAATTTAAAAGTTTAAAATATTTTGCATTTTCAGACTAAAAGATCAAAACTACATGCCCAGTTGCTGAAGTCCGATCTTACTTGGAAGAAGATAATAAAGTTTGTTGATGACAATTTGGACAAAAAAGAATACCAAACTGTAAATGGTGATTTAAAAACTATCTTACAAGCTGCAAAACAAATAGGTATGTTTTTGTTCTCTAGTAGTCTACTCATGCATAGTTTTATGTGGGGGTGGGAGCAGGTTCAAGTTGCTTTCTGCCTGCATACTTTACTGGTGCAGTTTTGGTTCTAACTCGATGCCAGTTTTGCCCTTTGAATATAATAACTTTGACACTCCATTTAATCTGATCTACATATACACAATCTGGCCTTCTGTTTTATTTTAAGATTCCATTGTTATATGGATATTCTTATGTGTTTGATAGTACTGTTTTGTAAAGTGTGGTATGGTTTGTGATTGACAGTTATTAAGCAAAACCAACTGTTTCTTTTGGAATAGCAGTACTCTAAGAAAAGAACAATCCTGATGTTGTCTGCTTTAATTCCATGTAATTGGTATAATGAAAAATTGGACTCCTGTGTTTGCAGATAAAAATGTAAGAAATGTTTTCTCCTTGAAGTGTTTGGTGTTGAGGAGAGAAATAAAAATATATTTCACTCATCTGGAATTAAACTTCTAATACTGAAATACATAACGACAAAGAAAATGTGAAAACTTAGTTTTGATTGGAAATTTAGTTTTTGATTCACAAACCTAATACAGCTTTTGATTTTAGCAAAATTTAACTTCATTAGCTCCTAAACTGAGCACATGGCTCAAGCTCTTGCTGTCACATATTTAAGGATTTTTCCTTTCAATCTTGTAGATATATTTCCTCCTTTTCTAATTGTTTTTCAAATATCTTGAATAGAAACATTAGTAAAAAGACAGAGAGAAATAATAAAAATAAATATATTTGCCTGGTTTTGGTACTATAGACCAGAGATTTTTATTACAATACAAATGTTAACATGCCCCACTTGCATTTCTATTTCTTGACCATTTATTTGGAAATACCTAGTAAATTGAGAAAGAAAACAATGTCTAAACACAGGCTTTCAAAAAAGGCTAGGCAAGTTATTCATGTCCAACACGTGGTGGTAGTCAATTATGCTGTACAGTTGCAGAAGATGCCTGTTAAAACTATTAACAGTTGTAAATGGCTATTGCTTTCTTCAGTCATCAGAAGTATATTTTTGAGTATTTCTCAAATTACTGACAGTTTTAAACTCTGGTTAGTACCTTTAGTAAACTTTTAACCTCTTTGGGCTGCAATTTAAGCATGTGGCTGCTGTCTTTCTGAGACAGGCCCCTGGGAAGGGCCAACTCTGTGCCCTAACCCAGGTACCTCTCCTTCAGTGCACAGATTTCAGCTGGCACTTGCAACACACGAGGCTTGAGGGGAAGTCATGCAAGATGGGGATTGAGTTTGTACTAGCTGTCAGTCCATAGAGTTAGTAGGAGAAGTATCAATCTGTATTGATAAGAGATATTGATTGAGAAAGCAATTTTAAATATCAAATGTGTATAGTTTAATCACAAGTGGTACTGGGCTAAAATGTTGGCTGGGAAACAAAACAAAATACCAAAAAGAGTAGCTTCTAGTAGTGCATCTCTTGCCATCTTGTCTGGTTTATATTGTTGAGATGGAAGGAGTAGTATTTTCTCAAGAGATCCTTTCACAAATAGGAGATGTCTATAATAAAGGAAAAATAACACATAGTAAACCTAAAAGATTTTTCTCAAATCCTTCAGTTTCTCTTTCAGTTTAGTAATCTTTACTTCTGTTCCAAGACAATTGACTCCAAATAATAACATGTATTTGTATGTTAGGAATATATTCTTCATGCAGAAAAACTGCAAGTTTTTAGATGTAAGGGTTTTTTTTTGTGCTTCCTATATAGCTAATGCTAAAAGGGAGGGGCTGAACCACCTTTTTCCTCTGAGACCTGTTTACATATCTATTGTATATGTGTGTGTCTATGTCATGTGTCTTCCATATGTAGGTATCTAATTATCTTGTAAATATCACCTCCAGTCCTCTCCTTGAACTCCTCAGATTTTCAAAGTGCACCACAGGAAGATTCAAGCTAAATAGTGAATTTGTAGCCACCTCAATTTATTTATATATTACATTTCTAGCTACTTATCCTTGTTCCATCTGCTTATGCTAGAATTTTTTGCTCTTTCCTGTTAGATTGTGGGGAAGAAACCCCTTGCTTTTTCTGGTGTTAAACTTAATCTAAGTTGAATTAATCACAAGTAAAAAAAATTTGTAAGCTGTCCTCATTTAAAATGAACAAAAGCCCCAGTATGCTGGCTGGTTTTGTTTAGGTTAGGCTTGGTGACTTTAAAAATGTTGTAGTAATGACATACTCATTCATCACATGGAGTTTTCCTTATGTTTTCCTCAACTACCTTTGTGAATATTTGTGTGAGAAGTAAATTCATGTTTTTATCTAATAATATATTGTTTATTTGCATAACATGATATTTTGTAGATAGAAATCCAAATTCATACATTTATTTGCTTTAAATTTTTTGAGCGGTTTTTCTATCTTAGTACATACTCAGAAGTAATTCTACTGGGAATTGCTACAAGGATTCAGTAATCCCCAGCCGAGTTCTTTATATTTATTCTGTTATGAATATTCAGATTAGGCAGTGAATAAATAGTGAGACAAAGTGGAAATTTGTTAACGTTAAATAGCTTATAAATATACAATTGTGAGTTTAAGACCTCTAGCATGTTTTTTTCTCCAGCTCAGAAAGATAAGAAAGCATTGGTAATTCTTACTATAAATTTTTAGTATGTAGAAGGATAATGAAGACAGATGCTTTATTATCATATACCTTTTGTAATTCAGTACCTTGCAACAATTCTTACTTGTTGTGGTCTTCTTTTGATATCTCTGCTGATGAGACTTGTGGCAAGAATTTGAATACAGTTACGTTACAGGCAATGAAACACTCTTAGTATTAAGTGTATTAAGTTGCATTTGTTTTTGTTAACAGTTGGAGCTGAAAATGGACAAGAGGCGATTGAAAGTGGAGCTGTTTTTCTTTTTAAGACATTTCATGGGAAAGAATGTGTTGGCCATGATGAGACAAAGGTGATCAAGCAGATGTTTGGGCCATTTCCATCATCATCTGCTACTGCAGCTTGTAGTGCCACGTCTCGGATTGCTTCTCACTTCACTGAAGAACAGCTTAGAGCCCTCATACAGTTGGCTGAAGAGCAAAATGGTGATAACAGAGTGCTGTTTGGTAAAAATATAGTGTTTTCATTTGACATGCATGATTTGGATCACTCTGAAGAGCTGCCTGTGAATGGTGAGACTGATGTGCAGAAAAGTATAAGCTTAGATTATAACAAATTTTTGAATAACCAGCTGAATCACTTACAGAACTATTGTGAAGAGAAATCTAATATCAAATCTTTGGAAAAAATAGATGATTCTTTTTTATGGTGTGAAGTTGGAAAGTACCTGAAGGAATCTCAAGGAGGTAACCCTGGAGGGCCAACAACCGAAGACCTCTGCTGCACTTTGTATGAGATCCTTGCTTCTACCAAAAGTGCCGATGAACTTCAAAATGAGGTACACTAGCACATTAACTATACTGCATATATTTGAATGCCACAGAATTATACAATAATTGCATTTTAGTTCATGCCAATATACTTTTTCCAACTGTTGTCTGTGCTTTTTTTTAAAATCTGTCTTGAGAAAAATCTCATGGCAGCATCATCATTTACCAGGGAGAAGGATACAGCATAAGTTTGATCTGAATAATCTCTTTCCCCCACAGTGGACAGGATGTTTTTTTGGGAGCCATTTGCTCAGTCTCCATTCGTTCTTTTTAAGCAGAACCCAGTTTAAGCTGCCTATAAAAGTGTGAGGAAATTGCAAAGACAAGCTGAACTTTCTTGGACAGGTTTCATCTCCAGTTTCAGAGCCTCCCTGTTGCTGGAAGGCTGAGCTACTTTAAAATTTTGTCATATCACGTCTGTTCCTTTTGATGAGGAAAGGGGGTGGCTGGGTTTGTTACAAGAAGGACAGAGAAAATGTGAAGGAGAGGGAACAGTTGCTGGAGTTGAAAGATAAGCTTAGCAATAGAAAGGGGGAAAAGCATGATTAAAGCCTGGAGAAGATGTTTTCCAGGTGTGTGTGCAAGACATGATTGGATTAATCTAGGGAAGAATTCCTGAAATTTGGTAATTTTTTTTTCCTCTTTGCACTTTTCTGTTATGTTTAGTTTATTTTTTCTAACTTGCCTTGCTTTCCTTCCTTGAAAACATCCAGTACTTAAATTCTCAAACTGAATTTTCAGAAAGACTCTAAATTTGCTACCAAAATGCAACTGATAGTAGGAATAGACAATCCCATGAAAGACAAGATAGTGAAAGTTTTCAGGAATTTTGCCATTGCAGTTTCAGATTTTATTCTTCTTAAGAAAAACAGTAGGAATTAGATAAGAGAACCTGTGTACTTCATTTTAGGTTTAGATAACTATGTATGGATGTCTAATGTGTAATGACATAGTTGCTGAAGCCATACTAATGTATTGTTTGGTAATCAGTGGACCACATTTTTGCTGTCCTTTGAGCTTTCTGGACATGTATGTTTTCTTACAGATCCTAAACATAAATGGAAGTTGATCTAATTTCTTCTGCATTGAAATATATTTGAAAAATAATACCTTAATACATGTCTGCAAACAGTTTCATACTTTGGGTGGTAATATTGAGTGAAGATATGAAAATAGAAGACTGAACAGGTCTTTGTTAAGAAGACTGGATAAAAAACTTGCATGTCAAATGAAACACGAAAAAGTATATTTGTCAAAGGCACCTGTAGTTTATTAATTGTACAGTGATAAAGATTTCAATTTTCTTTTTCTAGATCAGTGACTGAAGACATTTCCTATATCATTATTGGGTATGCAGAAATAATTCCATACTTCTGCATAATGCCTACTTAATGCCTAAGTTTAATTTGTAAAATGTTAAAGGAAAAGCTCTAAACCTTCGCCTTGAAGCAAGAAGAAGTAACTTTTTTTTTGCAAATTTATGATCATAATGGATTGCTCAATCATTTGGCAGAAAGTTCAAGCTATCAGTTTTTATGTAGGTCACCAATAAAGACTTCCTTTCCATTAGTTCCTGGAACAAAGAATTCTTGGCAAAATAACTGATTTGATGGCTTTACAGAAGTTTTAATTTGATAATATGAAAAAATTGTTTGCCAGTGAACTGAAAACTAACTTAGCAAAAATAGTTTCTTCAGCTTGCATCACTAGAGAGGAAAAGAATTTCTTCTCTGAAGTGTCTGAAAACTGCATTTTATTTAGGATTTTTAAAAACTCCAAGTAATAAAAGAAAGATCTCCACATTCTCATTATTTTGGCCCCTTTGTTGTCTTTCCTTGCAACACTGGTATTTTATTGTTCATTGCACAATGTGGGGATCAAGGAGGGAGTACAACAAACTTGAACCTGATCACCTTTTGTTAAAAGCTAGCTGGCATTTGAATTGTGCTCTCTGTAGGCATCATCATGACTTGAAAATATCTTCTGGGCTTTGGATTTTACTATCACTTAGGGATAATTTTTTTTTTTTCATTACAGTAATTTTGCTGGTGCCATCATTAAGAGCAGATGGTGCTTTTTAGACCTGAAGATAATCCAGTTCTAGAGCTATGTCAGAGGCTTGCCGTGTGAGATGGCATAACAAGTTGATTGATCATGAATTCCAAACATCTGACATTTCTTGGTGGGATGAATACAGGCTAAACGGTCTGTGAGCTACAAAATATATTTTTTCTTAATAAACAAAAAAAACCCCTAAAAACAAAAACAAAACAAAACCCCACCAAAAACCAAAACAAAAAAAAACCAAAAAAACCCCCAAAACAAAAAATGAACCTGTTGATATGAAAGTATAAGTCTTCATAAATAAAAATCTACATCTATAAACCACATTTTTATGTTTTAAAGCAGGAAGATACCACTGGCTGTCTGTTATTAAACAAGAAAAGAACATGATTGTGGTGATGATATTGATAAGTGGACTTCTGTAAGACAATTCATTTGATCCTTAAGCAAATTTTATTGAGGTGCCAGATCACATTAAGAATATGAGCAGTTTAGATAATTTATAAGGTGGCACTCTGTTTTGGGTTTTTTTGTAGTGTATGTATAGGCACACATATACACTAGTTAGGTTTTTATCTACTTAATGAGCTCTACAAGGCATTGAAATTAGTTACTTTCTCCAGCAGTGTACAGTTTATGTTTAAAATGGTTGGTGAGGTAGAAGAAATACTTTGTTTTTTGTTTTCACTATTTGAGAACATTCCACTCTTCCTTTGGGACAGTTTGTTTATCTGGCATATCACTGGTGACTCTTAATTAGAGGAAAATTGATTCTTATAATTGGAGTGATATGGGAGTTATTTCCTAAGTGTTTGAGACATGTACTTTTCATTGGGGACATCAAGTCTAGTAAAGCTAAATGACAGCTAACACTTTTCACAGTGTGTCAGGTTTTGTTGATGAGCATGTGTATTTTGTTGATGGTAATGATGCGGTAACAACATCGTTATTTAAAAAGAGGAAGTAAAAGCCAATAACCAGCTACAGAGTTTGGCCAATAACTGTTATGAGTTTTTATATTTGATTAAAACTTAGTATTCAGTGCATTCCTGAATTTCTGAGAGCCCTCAGTTTCCAGTATATGATGAATGAAGACTGGAGCCATCTGAGAGCGTTTTAGCAGCTTTGCCACCTAGTATCTCTCAGAGTAACTAGAAAAAAGTTGGAAGAGTTTAGTCCCTCTGATTAGACCATGCTATTCTTAGAGGACATGTGTCTTTCTTTTGTGAACTCTTGTCTAGTTTATCTGCAAAATTTTTCAGAATTTTGTTTTGGAAATAATTGACTCTATTTTTACAGTAAGGCAGAGGTACATTATCTCTTAATCATAACAAAACAAGGAGATATTTCCCGTAAAGATAAAATTACTAGGGGAAAAAAAGGAGATGTAATCAGAATTGTGTTAAGATCTTAGTAATACAGCATCTATTATGAAAAACTGTGCATTTTATTCTTCTTGGGACAAGGCAAGAACTTTGCCCAAATAAAATTAAGAATATTAATGTCGTTTAGCAAATTAGATTAAATGGTGTTTCCCAGACAAAATCGCTTTAAATGCTGTATAAATCACCAGAAGAACACTGAGATATGAAACAGCAGAACTGTTTCAAGAAAACTATACTGTAAGCAGTAGTTTGAGTATTATGTAATAGTAGTTATATTTACTTATCTCTATATATGATGCACTTAATTGCCCACTTAAAAGCCCAGGCACGAGGCTTCTTTGGTGTGCTTTATGGTCGTGGCTGTTTCCAGCTCTCTGCATTAAAAGGTTACCATGTACACATACTATGGCATCCAGGGCTTCTGTCAGTAAATACAATCCAGCTGCTTTGCAAATTGTCATGGTGTGAAGCAAACACTGGTTTTTTTTTGTTTCATTCCTAAAAATCATTCAGTATTTTTCACTCCTACCAAAAATGTGAGATAAGTTTTCTTCCTTGTTGTCATAAGCACCCACCTGTGAATAGTCAGGTAGTAAAAACAGCAGTAGGAGGCCAGAAGGTAATAATGTGCAGTTTGAAGGTTCTCAATCCTTCCTTCAAGGCTGAAAAACATTAATTTCAAATCAAAATAGACCTGAAATCAGAAAAGTACGAGTAGTGTAATATAGGTTTATATGATGAATAAAAAGATGTCATGAGTTGGGCAGCACATCTTCTTGTATGTATTCCTTATTAGTTCAGTCCAGTAATAATATGCTCTTCCTTAGAGCTCAAAGGTTATTGCTTTATTACTGGAATTGAGTTTTTTTCATACTTATTTCAGAATGGAAGTTAATAGATTATTTTTGTTTCATGAAGAAGGATTTTTTTTTTCAGTGTGGTGTTTGTGTACCTCTGAATGCTTGATGTAGCAACAGACTTTTTGACAATTTTCCCCAGTCTCTTCTAAGTGGACCCCTGTTGTCTCTCAGGCTTCTGCATGTAAGTTTTCTTTAGCTGCCTTTGTCACTGGTAGCAAGATAATGATTTTTTTTTCCTCCACATCAGTTCATCTACATTGCTTCTGTTGCCTCACCTTAATCCCACCACAAATGTCTGCCAACATGCTTTGTTGGTTGAACCTGTAGATGCTCACGGGATCAAGAACAAGGGGAGCTTAACTAATTTGTCAATTCAGTGAACTGACAGGAAGCTCCTCTGAGTTCTGCCACCAGCCTTTTTGCAAAAGTACAGGAGAGTAAAGGAAAGCAAAATCTGTTTAAACTTTCACATAATCTAGCAGGCATCTTTTCTCTCATTGATACAGTATCTTAATCTGAGGAAGACTCATTAACAAAAGAATGTGGGAAAATTCATCCCAACTTCTCCTCTGAAGACTGCTCCAGAGTCTTGTTGCCTGGATGTTTAAAAAGAACCCTTGTTTTTTGCTTTTTGACTTTATTCAGGGCTGGTTTTATGATCACTTTTCCTGTGCTGTTATACAATTGTCCCTTTTTTTT